AAAAAAAAAAAAAACTCATTCATTAATCAATAAAATTTTCTGGTTCTGTAAAACAGTAAAAAAAGACCAGAAATAATTAATTTCGGAAAACAGCGATGTGGCGTTACAAAATACCTTACACCAAGAACTTCAGGCATTTGTCTTCCAATTCGGTAAGATTTTCAAACAAAGAGAAATAAACAACCAAATAAAGACTGAACAAGCTAGATAATGAAAGAAGCAACTTTTTAGCTAGTTACTTACCAGAGAGTTGTTTAGAAACTACAGCAAAGCAGAACTGGGGAAAATGAAAAAGCACCTTGTACAAACTTTTACTGTTCGATGAGAAGAATCTCCTTTATGATCATATATGCAGAAAATCCCAGGCGTACAAGACCCACACTCGGCAAATTCAAAGCATTCATTTGAATCCTCAGTGAAGAACTGATCTAAACAAAACGTCCACAACGCAAAATAAATATTATGTAAACAACACAACAACAGTACCTTTAATTCGTCTTAAACGATAATTTCCTTTTGCCCTGACAAAAGCCTGTGAGATCTGCAATATTCTTCTGTTATAAAGTAAATACTTTCAGTAAGTCACATGGTGTAAAAAATGGTTTAGAATAGTAATTTGAAAAGAAGAACCAAAAACACACATCTGAATTTTCCGTTAATCCATTATTTGACTTTCTTCTCCTCCAGGACATCCCGTTTCTTGACAATGTGCCACTGCTGGCTGCTTTCTTCAATTCAGATGGCTTAGGGAGACTGGTTTCTTCAGCTAAATTTCGTTATAATCACATAAATTCGTCATTTTCTAACAGCACTAAGTTTCTCAAAAAAAAGTTAGCAAGTGAATAGTCCCTCCACTGAAACAATCGGCATCAGAGAAAAAATTAACTTTAAAACAGCTATACTTGAGGAAACCCATATATTCTTACTCGAAAATACTCGCTTAACAAAAAAACTTACACGTTCCTGGAGAGGGTTCAACAATCACTTCGACGGAAGACCTGCCATTCGGCGAATTCACACGCCTCGGTGATACGTGTTGAATAGCATCTTTCTTCCCAGGGGTGTTTTGAACTGCTATAAAAACACAAATTTCAAGACCATGCTCAACTTATATCCTTAACTTTCAAAAATAAAAACCTTTATTAA